GAATAATGAGACGGTTTAAGTTAAAGAGACACGTTCCAGTTGTTGCTATAATTAACTTCAGTATTCCACTTCGGTGTGCAGAAGTAAATTTTTTTTCTCGTTTCAGTCCATATGAAGAAGTACTTCCAGAGCCTTAATTATCTCTAATCTGTAATAAGAGACAGGTGTGGGAGTGTATTTGCAGTTGATGGGTCTGACTGGTTGTAAATCCTTGAAGTGGTCTAATGGCTACCTGCATCCTTACATCAGGACTGAAGAGAACGTCAGACCACCAACTTAGCAACCTGAACAAAAAGGAGCCAAATTAATGGGGATAACACATGATATTGTCACCAAGAAGTAAAAAAGCTACTGGAACAGACTAGGCATAACATTTAGACCAGAAAGTCTAACATGGGGGTAATAACCACCAAATTACCCAGCGCTCCATCTCTCTAATTAGACCCCACTTAGAGGATAACTTCACTCCACGCCCTTCTCTTTCAGCTGTCTCCATCTCCGCTCTGCAACATTAAACCTCATATTTTACTGGTTTTATCTCCATGGAAACCATTGTCGCACACTGATCTTTTACTTTTTTAATGCAAACAAATCCCTCAACAGTATGCATTTCTTCTTATTTTTATTCTGATTGAAAGAGGTACTTCTAGTAAAACACGAGTTGAAACAGAGATTTCAGAGTTTTAGATCTGGATCGCTCATCGTCACTCTTGTCTTCACACAAAGTGGAGCTCAGAGTCCAGAGGAAGTCAGCAGAAATTGGCTCTTTTTGTTAGTCGTGCACCTCTGCGGTGGGTTGTCTGTGTGTTAGGTCAGAGTTTTGACCTCCTCTGATTTTCTCTCTCATTAAATTAAAACAGCAGGATTTGGACTGATTTTTTTTTCTTCTTTGTTTTTGTTTTTGGATGTTGATATTTTATACGATTCCATTTAATTTGCTGTCGTTCTTTTGCAAGTGAAGACATATATTTTGCAGGTTTGAGAGTAAAATGCGGCACGTTTAATTCAGAGCGTACAGTATTTCTCGTCTTTTGTGTGTTTGTGGTCACGTACATCAAACGGGGCGCTGGGCTTTGATGTGGCTCGGTGACTCCTAATGCGCCGCTTATGTCCCGATCAGGCTATTCATAGCTGAATGGCGGATACTGAATGAAAGCCTTTTGTTAAACAGCAGCATCACCCTGTATGGAAGTTGTTTTCTGTTTTTTTTTGTTTTGTTTTGTTTTTTTTTTTACAATCCGAATGAGATAATAAAAAAAGCAGAGGAAAAGACCTGTACATACATTGTATATCTGTAACTTTTATTTTACCTTTTGCCATATTAAAATGCTACAACATGAAACCGCTGCTGCGCATGCTGCAAAACAGATTGTTGCTAGGTAACCAAAAAGAGTAAATGAGTTGTGGTAATTGGCCTGAAAACGTGTGGCGTTTTAACTAGTCCAAGGACCCCACTACTCACACATTTAGAGATTTTTCTATTGATATTGATCATGTATCAATCACGACAGGTATTGATATTATTTTAGCATCTTTATTCTCTTTCAGGGGGGAAATTGGTGTTGCATCCAGGCATTTCCAACATACAAAAACAACAAAAAAACTCACAAATGTGGAGATCCGATTGCGGTGGGTACAAAGGAGTGCTTCCATCTGTTCCTCTTACTCCATCAGCCTGCGATCAAAGCATATCTAAGTGGACCAGTCAAAGTACACACCCAAGTCCAGTTAAGAATTTTGGCTTAACTTGAAATGCTGTATGCAAATTCTCTCCATCAAATCTGACCAAACGTGAGTTATTTTGCAAAGACAAACGGTCAAAAAAAATAAAACGAAACAAAGCCTCTGGATGTGCAAAGCTGTTTTTCACACTTTATTGTTATTATTCACCTTCAGGCTATAATGTCATCTATCTTACTTATTCCAGATCCACGTTGCCAAGGATCTGCTACCATGTGTCTCCAGCTTTTGTGCTTGCCACGTCACCCTCTGGCATTTCTTCACTTAAAGCAAACAGTTCTTATCTCCCAAAGATACGATGGAAAGCTGTCTGATTTTGTGAAGAACGGAGAAAAAGCACATCTCTCTGACAAACCAAAGCACCAGCTATCAGGCTTATCTGTCACACACACACACATCAGCGCAGAGACAAACACACTTCAGCAGTCTTTCTGGGCCCTGACCATTGCACACTGATGTCTGAGGCTGCTTGTTTTTAAGGTTATTGCTGTGCACCATGGAAGCACAGGATATTTGACTGTCCCCCTGCCAAAAAGAGGGCCTGGGGGCGTTTGGGCGTTTGGGGGGTGGGGGGTGAGGGAATGGAGAGAGCTGCCACTGACAACTCGGATATCTCCAAAGTGACCATCTGAAAATGAAAAAGGAGAAAACTTATTAAAAACCGAGGGGTCAAGAAGAAGCCCTGGGGGTAAATCGGTCACAGTTTTTGGGGGGATAATTAAGAGCTGTAGCGCCTACCTAGCTTAGAAGCGACTTCTGCATTTCACCAGATGAAAAATAGCATGTCTGCGGAGACGAGAGCAGAGGAAGGTGGTTTAATCCTGTGCATTAAAATACAAATCGCTGCCCTGAACCAGAACAATGGACGGTACATTGGAGTCGTTGTGGGGGGGAGGGGAGGTCTGAGCTCCGCCGGCTCGAGAGGAATCCCCAACCCGTGTCTGCAGGACGAACCTTCAGCAACGTGAACGAACGAACACGAAGGCTCGGGGCGATGGCTAAAGACGCCGAGTCAGCAGTTGTTGCAGCAGCACAGAGACGCGGGACTTGTTTGGTTTCTCTGCGCGCCAAATGTGTGCTGGAGTCGGCGCGGTAGACCAGAGCCGCTCAGCGTTCTCGTTTTTATCACACTTGTCCTCCAAACATGTGTGTGCATTTGTTTGAGATGCAGGAAATGGGAGGAGGGCGAGGAGGGAGTTGTACAAGCATCAGAGCCCCACATGTTTTTTGTTTCCTACACATGTTCTCCTCCTGCCTCCCCCCCGCCCCCCCTCCCACCAATAACACCAGAATGTCCAAGTCACACAGAAAGCAAGGAAAACAACACGCATATCTCTCACTGTCGACACAGAAAAGAGCGAGGAGTGGGTGGTCAGCGTCTTTCTTTTTTCCCAGATTAAGGCCTCCCACTCTTTATGTTTGGTATTGTTTGAGTGTTTGAGTATTTCCCTCAAAAAAAAAAAAAAAAAAATGTGCGACCCATCGCTCTTTGATGTTCCTGTTTTACGGTCCGCTGTCAACATATTGTCTCTCGAGTCTTTTTGTCGTCCCCTTTGCCCTAATTAAGACCTCAAAGCGACTTGTTGACTCCACAGAAGACCTTATTTGGGGAGGAGGGTGGAAGCCATGTGTTTCCTCGTGTCAGCTCGGCGTGCGTGCGTGTGTGTGTGTGTGTGTGTGTGTCTGCTGCGACCGACACGTTGCGTGAGAGGTGTGCACGACAGCGCGGAGACGCACATGTATACAAAGCACAGGCTTTAACACAAGAATGAGGTTATTCATTTACAGCTGGAGGTGCTTTTCAATGGAGCGAAACATCACTCCACCTGCAGACACAAGGAAAACCTAAGAGCACCTCAAACACACTCACCCACTCATTTATTAATATATATATATATATATATATATATATATATATATATTTAATATGTTGTGCTATTTTTCATTCTCAGGGCTGTAGCTGTGAGAAAAGGGCTTTGGTATCTTATGTTAGCGCTTAGCATGGTTAGCGTTACTGAAACAGCACTCTCTGTGTGTGTATCCTAGAGATTGTATATTTTCCTGTAACTCTAGCATGTTCCATGTCACGGTTTAAAACCTCAAAATTATTTCCAGTTCCAGTGTGGAGTTTTCTGTTCAGGATGAAAGCTCACTTAGTCTTTGAGACGGCGAACTTGAGTTCTTACGCCACTACGTTACTCGAAAACGGTCACAGAATGACAGTATTAACGCGGTGATTTCTTGGGAAATTTGTCGCCCGGTAAAACTTGCTACAGTGACGAGACTTCCACAGCAGCGTCTCCAAAGGTCTCTCACAACAGCAGCAAAAATAGCTGTGCATTTTGACTGAGGAGTGATTGTAGGATGATTTTGTTGCCACTAACTGCAGCAACGTCATCTCAAAACTGGCAACACTGCTTCTTTCCCGTCACAATATAAATGAGCCATCTTGACTCACTAACTTTAAAATCTTCTCTCAGTAATTGTGTCAACACTGGAAGAGCATTGTTAGTCACTGCTCATCGGTTCTGACTGATCTGAAGGAGATTTTATATTTGAGCTTCAGGGCAAATCAAACTGGAACTCGCCCAGTTATGAAGCTGTGTGCAGCTTTCGTAACATCTGATGTCTTTTGCAGTCTTTTACGTCACATTTGACTTTTTTTCCCTTCTGTTCAGCGTGCGGCTTATTGCACATCCAAATGATTCAGTACAAGTAAGCCAAACGGCCCTGTGTTGAAAAAAACAAACTGAGTTGCATGCGAGGAAGCCATCGTGGCATGCAAGTTTGACTGCGTGCGTGCGTGTTGTTTACATCCACTAGTTTTAATTTCAGTGTTCCACAGAACCCCAGCATTGGCCTGTCTTTCGTGTTGACACAGATGTGCGGCTCTGACCTGAGGGACTTATGTTTTTTGGACCCTTTGCGGTGCAGATGGAATCTGTTTTGCTTCTCTTTCACTCTGCATAAGGTTGCAGATTTAATGCCGTGACCTAAAGGTCAGGTTCAATGAGCGGGATGTGGAGGCGGCAGCTGCAGTGCACACAGCATTTTTATCCTCATGCCGCTTTATCACGCGTTAGACCCACATTTAATGCGCCTCGCCGTTGCACAGTTCATGCAATACCTGCAGGCGCTTAAAACGCAACAAGTCGAACTCAAGTGTGCATTTGTGTTTCAAATTAATTTTACGCCTGAGCTCTTCCTGAGCGACAGTCTCTTGTTTTGTAACCTTATTCCGTCTCGTTTTCTCATCCCAGGTTATCCCATGCCCAGAGGTCTGCTGTGAAAGTCCTGCGCAGAATGCAGTACTTCGTGGCCAGGAGGAAATTTCAGGTAATATGAAAAAGAAATCCTGAGAGGGGGAAACGGGAGTTAGAGCAACGGCAGATGAGAAGGTCAGATTCTGAGTGGAAGCAGTGTGTTATGCACGAAGAGGAAGAGGAGTGTGTTTGTGTCCAAATACTGAGCCCCACTAGAGACGTTTGAGAAATAATTAAGAAAAGGAAAAAAAAGATTCAGTAAAAGTTTGTGAGAACAGAGAATCTTCTGAAAAATGTGATCGTCACTTTATGGAAACTATTCAGTGACGCCACTCTTCTGATGTCCAGATAAATTAAACATGCACAAAAATCCTCAATATGATACAAATGTCTAATTAACTGTATTATTTCAAATCGTCATTTGTAAATCAGTAGCTAACTTACATATTACATAAATCATCTCCAATTTCCAATGTTTTAGTTTAAATTTTTGTTATTTTGACACCAGTGGAGTTAAGATAATAACAGGAAACGGCAGGATATTCTCTAACCTTTCCACTTCCTGTAGGGGAGGTACTTACAGTATTTACAGTGTAGGATTTCCAAATGGTCTCCAGCCAGATACTCTTGCAAAAAAACCAACAAAAAAGCAAAAACATTTGTGTCACATCGTAAAGTTTTTCCTGAATTTCACAAACGTCACTCTGGGTTTTCCTAATCCTTTGCAGAATTCACTAAAGGGTCTCGCAAAATGTCTCTTAAAAATTGGGGGGACAGTTGCAAAAGTAACCTTAGATTTTGCTGAATTTGTGCTCTGCCTTGTAAAAGTATCTCAGACTCTCCAGAACCTTCACTGGTCTAGCAAACCCTTCATAAGGTCTTGCTAATGCGTCTTGGACTTTAGCACAACTTATACAGGATCTCACAAAAGCAAACATTCACTGGAACTTGCTAAAGAGACTTGGGACTCTTGCAAAACCTTTGCAGGATCACAAATACCTTTCTTTGAATTTCCTGAAGAAACTTGGAATCTTGCAATAGGCTCTCACAAAGTATCTGCTGGAACTTGCTGAAATAACTTGGAATTTTGTAAAACCTTTAAGTTGATCTCACAAACTTAACCTGCACAAATTTCACTGGAACTTGCTAAAGTAACTCGGGGATCTTATAAACCTTTCCAGAGATGTCGTAGAAGTGTCTCTCTTTTTTTCCTGTTTTGTCTTTTGTAGGGTTCAGTAATTCAGCGTAAAGTTCTAATTTGTGAAAAAATTTGCCTGTCTGTCTTTATAGTCATAATGCATTTATCGTAGGAACGTATAAAACTACAGCAGTGCATGGCCCTATAGTTGTGAAGCCTGCATGTGTTGTTATCTTTTTCAAATCTTTAAGGAAAACCTGCAGTAACATGTGCTACTAAACACATTTATCTGTAGTAAAAGTTCCCTATCACAGTTTCTCTGACCACGGTTTTTTTATTTATTTATTTTTTATTTTTTTTCAGGTGTTCTGCATGTTTCCAATTACGGGCTAAGTGGTCTCAGCTGTACAGACCATAGTGTGTCTAGCAGGGATACCCTAAAGGGTTCACCGAGTTCATTCTGATACCCCCTGTGTCAACGTCACACCACACAAAGCTGTGAAAGGACCTTAACACGATTGCTCTCTACATGACCATGCGCCTCTCTGTGCGCACACAAACATACGTATGCACACGCATGCATGCTCACACTCACACAAAACACACATTGAGCTCACAATGAACTCTTTGCACCCACCGGGGTTGGGGGATGTTTTCAGGGGACCGAGCAACAAGAGGTTGTGATTGACAATGGCTTTGTGTCCCACCGTGTGTGCGTGTGTTTTTCTTGTGTGTGTGTGTGCGTGTGTGTGGATCCGCAGCAAGCTCGGAAACCCTATGATGTGCGAGACGTGATCGAGCAGTATTCCCAGGGTCACCTTAACATGATGGTTCGCATCAAGGAGCTGCAGAGAAGGTGGACGCCTCGACTTTTTGTCCTGTTTCTTATTCTGATGCCCCATAAATCTTTGCATGGGTTTTTAGCAAGTTTCCTCGATATTTTATAGAAAAAAAAAAAAAGAAAAAAAATGTTTAAAGTTATGTAAATGATTAAAAAATATATGTTGTGAGTGCAGCTGGCTGTCGGTCTCGTAAATATATCCAATAGGCACGGTGAAGTTCTCATTTTTGGGAAGAAAGACGTAAAGTTTCTTTATAGCGAGCATCACAATATTGGCACTCATGATGGAAATTAAAAAATAAATAAATAAAAAATGGTTGCTATGGGAACTTAGTCAAGTTTATTTTTTATAGCACATTTCATCAACAAGGCAGGTCAAAGTGTTTTGCAATTATGAAACGAGCAATAAACATTACATTTTGTCAAATGCATTCACCAAAATCATTATTTCTCTACAGAGAAATTTTGGAAAGCTTGTACACAAGCATGATTGACAGGTCTAAGACCCTCCTCCTGACTCTGATTGGTTGTTTCTGACTGAGTGGTGTATTCCTGCAGATAGCACTGGGAGAACTGGGAGGAGATGGAGAAGCTCCATATTTTCACACGTTAATTGTCTCACACTGTCACCACATTGTGAAATTTTAACAGATATGTAAAAAACAAACAAACAAAAAAACCAGTTTTTAAAATAAAAGTTACTTACTGCAGCTTTAAGTGAACGATCAAAAAATGCTTAGTGTGGTTTGAGGTCAATAATTATGGCAATGTTATTTCTTATGCTTTTTTTTAACCACGGCTGAATTAATAAACACCAATTTGTTTCATTTTTTTCCAAACTTATTTGTAAGATAAAAGATGTTTCAGCGTAATATTAGTAGACAGAATAACAACATCAATTTAAGACAAAAAAAAACAAAATACATTTGGAAAACAACACAGATACGATATAAAAGAAGCAATAACATGAGTAGTAAGAAATTAAAAAAATTATAGTTTTTGGCTTTTTAATGTTTTGATAAACGACAATGTCACTAACAGTCTTTGTTAGTGATCCCAACAATGTAAAGTTTCAAATAGAAAGCAATGATAAATAAGGCAGAAGATTGTTGATGCTTTGAGTAGAGTTCAAAATAACTATTTTGATGTTTTACATTAAGTGCCCGACCGACTCTAAATGGTATAAAACGTGCATAAAAAGCTACCACTGATTGCACCGCAGTCGCTTATTATTAAAATAATTAGCTTAAAAGAAACGGTGAAGCAAGTTTGTTTTGGATCAACGCAAAATGAAAAAGCTGTTAAATAATATGTTATTTACTCACTTCGATTTTCAGATCTCTCCCCCGTAGTGTGGGGAGGATTTCCACTGCCCTTCATTACTGTATTTTCGTGTAAAGATGAATCAGTTTTGTCTTGTGTTTCTTCCTTGTTTAACAGTTACCATAACAAGCTGTCCGGCCAGATGAATCTCTTCTGTATCTGTTTTTAACTTTTCTCCGTCTTTATCTGCTCTCCGTCAGGCTGGATGGCACCCTCGGGAAGCCGGGAATGTTTTTGCCAGGTAAACAGCAAGGAAACAGGCCGGATCTGACAGACAACCATCACTCCTCACTCCACCTCTGTGTTTACAACTCACACATGCTCAAGCACCAGCAGACTAAATACCGGAGAACGACAGGGCTGTAATGTTTGCGCTCACGGCTCTGTTTGGCTGAGTGTTTTTGTGTTTATAAGCGCTTGGATTTGTTTGCCGCGGCTCGCTGGGCCGTGTGCCGCCATTTATTGGCACCTTTGCGTAAATTCCTGTCAGACGACTTACAAACACTCGTTTGTTACGTTACTTTCAAACTGTCTCAGTGGTCCCATCGGTTGCATCGACTGCTACTGGAGCTTCTTTGTCGACTGACGTCGCTGCTGACAGAGGGAAAACAAACCGAGCCTAAACTGAACAGGAGCGAAGCTAAAGGTGAAACGGCAGCTTCTTGTTCCAACGCGAAAAGTGTTAATATGACCAAACATGCGATGCTAATGAAGTTAACGAAAATTAAAAAATTCTGAACTCTCTCTTTAAAGTGCGGTTAGCATGTTACCTGTGAGGCCGAACTCTTGTTTCGTCTTCGTTTTGTATAAATCCAAATTAGCTAAACAAATGACTAGCTAACAGCTAATCTGGAAGGGGCTAAAACCACAGCTGACTGCTGCCGTCCTGAAGATTAAATCTCCCAAGAATGATGATAGTTTATCAGAGTGCTATGAACCCGTATCCACCTGCTGCAGCACATTTATCTGTCTTGTGAAAGACAGAGGTGTATATATAACTGCTGAGAGCTCATTATTTTTGTCTTTGACTATTTTAAATGATCAGTTTCTGTTGAAGATTGAGAATAAGAAAGAGAAAGAGAGACTGGGATCCACTACTGATTTATTTCAGATCATAAAACAACGTCATTAATTGTTTTGGTAACAGTTTATTTGATGGGATGTGCATAAGACTGACATGACACTGTGATGAACATGAAGGAGTCTTTATGAATGTTTACCACTGTCGTCATGTAGTGTTTTTTGGTAAATAATGACACTTTTAATGCAAAGTCAACAATTTTAATGGACTTTTAACACAAGTTTTAATGCATTAAAAGTATTATTTACCGAGTGACACTTCATGACAACAGTCACAGACCTTCATAGATTATTTTATCTAAATGACTGGTGTTATGTCAACCCTATGATCAAATGAAGCATTACCAGTTTGGCTGTATTTATAAAACCAAAACTCCAAGATTCGAAAAGATGTGTTTGTAAATGTGAAATTATAGCAACAAATGAAAAAGAAAATTAGCTGTAATTTATCTAACATATTTATCTGACATAGTCAGTCTTGCAGCAGCGATGCCAGCAACATGGCGGACCCCACTGACGCGCTCATGCTGGGGGCTTATTGAGCATCGACATGGAACGTGGAGATAGAAGCCGGTGCAAACAGAGAAGGGAACATGCAAAACCTTTCCAGTCAGAGTTAGTGGTAAAACAGTGAGGCGAAAATATCTCGTCTGTATGAGTGAATGTCATTCATTGATTTCTGCAGTTCCTAACTTTTCAAGAAATAACGAGCCGTCCTATTCAGTTACAGCCCGTGTAAGCAATCATTTATTTAATGTACTTCCTCCTACTGTCCTCCTGCTCATTTCTCGTGCCCTTGCATGTCATTCACTGGTGCCAACGTAAGATGGTAATTACAGCTTGGAGCTTTCCGAGGTCCATAAAAACAAATGATATGTTCAGTGGCAAATGCATTCTGCCTCCACATCTGTTTTCACCTCTTATGGATAAATGCCAAGATTTATCTTGGGATTTGTCATCAAGTAATGTTAGTTATGCTATCAATTGTTTTCTGAATGTTTCCCCTCCCTCCCCCCTTTTCTGCCAATTCACTAGGAAAGGGAGAAGATAAAGAGTACCCAACCATTGGAGCACGCATGATCAGAATGGAAGATAAGGTAGGCACAGTGTGTGTTTTGACTTTAAGCGAGACTGATCAGATTACTCTGGGCGTTCAGAAACAGAGTCGTGTGTCTGACAGCAGAACTGATTTGATTTTGCCGTCTTGTTGATGCTGTCGGACGAGTTAGAGCGATTTAAGAGTGTTATTTCTCTTACCTTATTGTGTCACACTGGTCCACCCGTTCTGCTGTCGTAAGAACTAAATGCTTAATTTTGCTGCATAGATGACCAGATCGTAGCTAAAGAGTGAGGAGTTTTTGCAGCGAGGCATAACCGAAAAACACAGCAGCTGCTTTTACAGGAAGAGAGCAAATTGTGACGTCAACGCTGCAAGTGGACGATGCTTTAGAAAACCAACCGTGGGTTGATAATTTAAGACTTCTCTATTGGACCTGATAGTGGATGAGAGCAACTCAGGAAGCAGCACAGAAAATGTCCTGGACTTCATCCAGCACCAGAACCAGCCAAGTAGGAAGATTAGATCTTGTCTGGATTGTAGCAAGTAGTCTAAGCAAAAGATATTAACCGGCCATTAATAAAGGAGGAAGTTGGTGTTTGCCAGTCCAGCCTTGTTTTGGATATCAGATATCAACATTGGGGCTTCGAGCTGCTCTTGAGAACACCATGCATCGGCCTTTATGAAACTACATCGCAACACAGAAGGAGTGACTTTATGTATACATAAAGTATGACTGAAACAACAGTGTTTTAGCTTCTTTTATTACTATTGAGGAGTTTTACTTCTTGGAACATAAAAGGACGAACTTCCCTTATTTTTTATCCGACTCTCCAGACTAATTGACCTCCTGTTGTTGTAGAGCCTTTAAACTCGGATTTAAGTTAAATCTGCCTGTATCCCAACTTTCTGATTTTTTTTTTGTTGTCAGGATTCTAAAACCTGAAATAAATATAAATATTCACCTGAAGCAATATTTGGTTGACAATAATATCTTAAGTGAAGATCAGTCTGGCTTTAGCTCTGGTCGTTGTACCATATCGGCAACCAGCATTGTGAAATGAGCTGCTCTTAAACAGACTTACTGGTAATTGGTTTAGTAATTAACCTTCAGGCGGTTTTAGAGGCTCTATTTAATGTTATTTTACTTTGTTATTATTAACATTGGGATCACCGTGTCGCTTCAGCTTCAGCACGCCTTTATGCTGATGACGCCGTTGTATTTTATTCATGTGGCTGTGCTCTGCGGCGCGAGTTGACGAGCTTGTATTCACCTGCCGGCTCCAGCAGGCATCACTATTTGAATTAATGCTTGTTCTTAATTGTAATAAAGCTAAATTAATGTTGCTCCCAAACCTCCGGATAGCATTCGTGGTTTTGCACGCAGAGGAGAAGCTAACTTAAGAACATTTCCCTTGAAATATTAGGGGATTTGGCTGGAAGACAACCTTACGTTTAGATTGCATGTCAACCGTTTGATAAAACATCAGACGGTTATATTGAGTGCTGAAAAAAATACTGTCAAGGCTATAATTTTAACAGTTACAGTTTTACAGTGTGCATCTGTGTGCGTACTTTAGAAACTGAGCGTCGGTCCTCCTCCAGCCAAACCGGTATGGTTTTATGAGCTCTGTACCTTTTTATTGCTTTTACAACTAAACAAATGTCTTAATGTCAAAGTGAAAAACGGATTTCTAGAAAATAATGACAATTAAATAACAATATGCAACATGAAGACGTCCCATGACTTTTCAGTAACATTTTATCTGATTTGCTCTTGTTCTTTTATTTTCATGCTTTAATGATAAGCAGGAATACTGATTAACCAGTGATTAACTCTATATATGACTCTATGTTACAGTCACTTAGGACACAGCCACTGCACTCAGGTGACCTCTATCCCACCCACTGTGAGACTAGTAGCACCAATTGGCTGGACCTTTGTTGAATTAGGTCAGTCACTTTAAATGCAGTGAATATCCATGCAATCATGTATTTTATGTCACGTTTTTTATTTAAGTTTCATCATGTTTGTAAAAATCAGTTTTCACTTTAACATCAAAGGTTTTTTTGTATAATTTTTTTGTCAAATAGGCCAAATTTGATTGTTCACGATTAATTTGTCAAACCAGTAAAAAAGGTAAAACATTCAATGTTCTTTCTATCTTGTATTTGAGTGCATTCTTAACACGTTTTACTTAGATTATTTATTTAATCTTTACAGTAAGTGAAAGCTTAATGCTTTTGAGTCTGAGGAAGCGTCTTATATAAACTTCTGTGAGTCCATAAGACGGACATTCCGCCTGCATGCTGACTGATTTGATTTCCTCTTTTTATTCCAAGTCTGCTGCGTTGCTGCTTATTCCGTTTTCTCTTGTGGTTCTGATGTTTTGGACGTAAGGCTCACCTCAATATGAGGTTATTCTGAGTCAAAAACAATTCCTATACAATAGAACAATGCATTCTGCAGCCATTCAAGTCGGCCAGCTCAGGATTTCCCTCACTTTCCTGGGTATTTACCTTGCCGTCGCTATGCGCCCATTACCACGGCTGTTTGCAAGTGTCAGTCATTCTCAGGCGTCTTTGTTTTGGAGAGGGGAGTAATGATCTTGAACCGCTGTAGATCGAAAGCCCTGAAGACCTCCCTCAGACTGTGCCACGGCCCACTGGCATTGGCCGTCGTGTTGTAATCACCGTCTCCTGATTGGGAACACAAACCTGTGTTTAGACGCTGCACCTCCCGCTTCGCCTCCTTCAGCCTCGCCTTCAATCCGCACATGAAGCCAGTATAATTTCAAAACACACGGGTCAATTTAAGAAAATCTTCTTTTTTCTTTTTTTTTTTTTTAAAATAGACTTTACTTCTAATCAGAGCTTCATGTGTTTTGGTGCCACAACCAGCTTTCATTAGGTGTAACGTTAAAACAGCTGCAAGAATCTGTGTCAGCCATAAATCCTTCATAATTACTGTTTTCCTCTGGAGTGCCCACCCACTGCCCGGCTTTCGTTTCTGCTTATGTGAGTTTCTTGTTTTGATGGTCCTGTCGGGGGGACACACCTGTTACACAGACAAGGGGGGGGCAGGGGCTTCCTTTTCGCCTTTGGGCAGCAGGTGTACGAACCTATTGACCCATGTTTCCATCTACACTGTAAAGAAGAAGTGGACAAAACCACCATGTTGTTAATAGGCCAGTCTTGAAACTTCAATTTTTTTTTTTTTTTTGTGAAACCTCGGTTCAGCAGGTCTGACTAGCCACACCCTGTGGGATCCCATCATTCTTCTCAAACAAAGGAGTAAAATTTGATTTATTGCTCAAATTAAAAGTATTTCTTGTTGGCAGAATGTCAGAAATGTTTAAATAAGCTACTTACACGTCTCTAACGACTCAAATTAGCATTTTCTGAGAAGTAAGTCGGTAGTGAATTGATGCAAGAGGCTTTTGCATTTGTGAATAATTTTGAAAGGAAGTGCTTTTAATTTGGATGACCAAATGTGTTTTTGTAACGGTGCTAGAGAGGAAAGCTACTTTTAATTTTTTTTATTTGAAACAACTGGAAGTCATTAAGCCGTTTAGTCATCCTTGTAATTCTACAGGAAATACAAAGACTGTTCTCATTCTTTAACTTTGGTTTTTGAAGATTACATTTTTTGGAAAATCTGGATTTTTTTTATTTTATTTTTTTTTATCCACCAACGCTCATCTTGTTTCCATGGTTCCAGCCGAAGCCCACTGTCTTCCTTGACAGGTGCGTTTTTACAGCTTCTACTTATTTGGACTTTGAATTCAGTCTGACAAAATATGAGGGTCAGGCTAAGAATTATTTTTTTTTTACGTCATAATGTCACATTAAGACAGTCGAAATAATACCAGGATGAAGTCTTAGCATTACCAGAAAATAAATGATCCAAGCTTTCCTCTTACTAAAACGACTTTCTTCTCGTAATTGACCTAAACATCAATGGTCACCCACCTGACTTCAAAACATCATCCCTTCCCTCAAAAAAGTTTTTCCACTACTGAAGGTTAATAATATTTACATCCAGCGGCGTATCTTTGCTGAAAAGGCGTAAAGTTTCAAACATCGTCTCTCGTCAGTCGGAGGACTGGAGCGTTGTCTTGTGAACCAGATTCACTCGTTGTTTGCTTTACTCTTAAAATCCTGTTTGTTCAGAAATCCCGGCCTTCAGATGCAGCACTTTTTCAAACAGTCAAAACAACAACGATCAAAAGATAAATCGCATGAACTAAACGGGGTGATAAATTATAAGGAAATTAAATTCATTTAAAAGCGATTTGATTACAACTACAGTGACATAATGAAAGCAGAGCCGTGTTATGTCATTAATCTTCATCTTTTATCCCTCGCCGTTTGCACCAGAATCTCCCGCGGGGGGGAGGGGGAGGGACACTTTTGTCGTTTTGTGACTGCGCATTCTTTAAATGGCTCTGCACTTTTCTTAGCTACACCGTCTTCCGCGAGTCGCCCGTAGACGTAAATCTAATCACTCACCGGGCTAAAAAAAAAACCCTTAGTGTCACAGTTGATTCGCTTTTGAATAGGATTTCTCCCAGAGGTCCAAGGGATTATTCATAAACTGTGAGCTGACGTCTCTGTGCACACAAGTCGTGTTCCCATGCCTGTCTCATTCCTGGTCAGCCGCCAGCTTTTTTCTTCTTTTCTTCTTTTTTTGTTTTCCCCTCCCTCCTTCAGGATAAATACTCACTCTCCGCTCCCTCTGCTTCATAACCCTGCAGGTTCGCCATCGTCCCACCGCTCGAGCTGAGTCAGATAGCGTAGCTATGCTGTCAAAGTGTTGTCCGCCAGACAATTCTAGATGAATTCATCTTGTACGGGCTGATAGGGGTTAAGGCATTCTGCGTCCTGTACGGGCTCGGACATTGATTTATCGCTTGCAGACAAAGGCCCGTGAAGATCTGCGCACACACACTCGCACCCACATGAACACGGAGTTGATTAATCACCAGTGTGTCTAACCCCTCACTCTTGAGATTGAATTCTCCGAGAGTAACTTGGAAA